AATAAATCACTATAATTTACTATTGCTGGACTTATTTGAGTTGCTCAGTGAACAGGGAAAATGTTAAAAAGAAAAAAAGATGCCGAAACCAATAAAAAAAAAAAAAAAAAAAAAAGGCAAGAAACTAGGTAACATAAACAGAGAAATTGTTCTGAAATAGGTGGAACGTCCCATAGTTATTTAGTGTGATGACAGCCAAAACACAGTGTGATTTAGTGTGATGACATTTCCCCATGAAGAAATATATTGTGTCTTGCAATATTAGCAAGATACTAATAAAGGAGGGTTGGGATTACAGAGGGGAGACAGGCACTGTGCATGTAGGGTGACCACGTACTGAAGGCTTCTCATTTTAGAATTCTGTGTTAGGTGCTAAAGCCATGGTTTGACTGTTTGGACACAGTGTTTTGAACCTGTCTTAAAATTTTTCAAAGAGATATAAGATGAAATTGTGTATACAATTCAGACATATTTCTATATCTCCCCAAATGATAACGAATGTGGAAGTGATCATGCTTATTTTTTGTTTTCAAATACTAGACATCATGATAAATGTTAACAGGGCATAGATTTTTGCTTACTATTATTTGTCACCATCAGAGAAAAAACAGTTAAAATAGAATCCATATTCTCTGTTTTATTTTTAAACTAGATTCACCATTTTTAAGTGAGTGTTTGTGGCTAAGGGGTTATAAGATTGATCGATTTCATTAGTAGTAGTTTTACATATAAATAAAATAACCATAAATGGAATGAATAATAAGGATGAACATAATCAGTGGGAGTCGCTTTTCCCTGGGTAAAAGCCTCCAAGATGCATGAGGCACACATCAGCAAAGAGATGAGGACGAAATAAGGTTGCTTTCAACTCCACAAATTTAGGAAAAATCTCACTTATCGAATCACATAATGGTATTAAGAAAAACTGTCATAACATAGTTCTAGTAAAATGTCAATATCTTATTTTTAGAGTTTTTGTTTAATGTAAATTAGTCAAAAATAGTCTTTTTCATGCCACCCAATAAATTGTAGAAGAGTATTAATATAATTTTCATTATTTAACAGATATTCACGAAAGCTTATTAGAGGGAAGAACAGAAAGAGAAAGAGAAGATAAAAAGGGAAAAAGGAAAATAGGTGTGCAGGAGAAGATGGAGGAGGGATCGATGTAGAGTGAGGAAAAATAGCACTTTCTAGAAAAGATGTCCCTTCTGGGATAAAACATGCTTTGGGCAGATTATAGAGTATATCAGAGGCATTCTGCTTAATAAAGGATAAAGATAACTAGAGTTTCAAAAACACAATCAACTGGAATTCCATTTATAGTGATAGTTCAGCAATTTCAGGCAGAATAATTTAAGAATACTCTGCAAAAGGTTATGAAAACAAGTCCTGCTGTAAGGAAGTAGGATTTCTATCACAGATTGTATGGCATGTGGCAGTGGCTTAAAGAAAAACAAACATTTTAAAAAGTAGGAGGTGATTAAGTCATATTAGGTTCAAATGCTATGACTAGGTAGCTTTCCTCTCTGATGGACCGCCGTCTGCACAAACACGAGGTCAACTACATGAAACCGTACCTTTCTCTTGGCTTTGAGCTGCTCGTGATACTTGTCACAGGTGTCTCCTGGGATTTCTCCTCCCCAGAGAGTGATTCCAACAATGGTGTATGTGATACCCATGACGAGCAGTGGGAAGCAGTACACCAGGATGATGACCACGATGTGGTACCTGTAAGGAATGAGACCAACACTTACGGAGGCACCTGCTGGATTGAAAGACGTGGGACTTTGAATTGTTCAACTTTAAATCGTGACTAAACCTGCCAGAGATTATTTACACACTATCTCTGTGCCCCTTTTCACAAAATCTATCAAAATGCCATGCTGTCATCATCTGGAGTCATATTTCAAATGCTCCCCGTTGAGTTTTGTCAGTCTTTACACTGGGTATGAATACAATAAACTGAAGGGCTCATTTAAAGGACGTACAGTCTCCTTGCTTGGAGGTTGAGGGTCCATAGCTTTCTCCTGCTCAGGACTCTTCTTGGGCTGAAATAATTAAATGTGTCCTCTCAGGAAAAGGGACAGGGCAGAACAACCTAAAGAACTGGCACATATTTTCTTCTATGTAGGAAAATTTTGTTCATCTCTGTAATGTAAGATATATTTGAAATAAATTGTTTTTCATCCACATGGAAAAAAAAAGTAGGTGGATAATCTAAGCCATGTCGGATCCTCAACTTACTTGATGGTGATTTAAAAAAAAAATTAGGTAAGGATGTTTACAGGTATCTTTCCAAAGTCATGGTGCGTTAGATTGCATCATTACCTTGGTAAAAAAACACATAGAACTTACTGTTAGTCACACTAAAGTCATGCTACTATAAATTATCAAATTAAGTCCCAGGATTTCATAGCTTTCAATCAAAATTATAAGAATGCAGTTAGGAAGAGAAATGAGGATAAATCACAGTGATAATAGCCCAAATTGAATTTTACGTAACTCATGTGTGGATTCCACTGTCTTATGACCCTTTAAAGTAGTTAAAGAGCTATACTAGTGGTCCCAGTGGTGTTTGTCTGTAAGGTGAATCTTACATCTCCTTGTCTTACTAAGGATAAATCTGAAGTAATGGAAAGTAATATGGTCCTCAAAGAACATGGCTAATAACATTAGCATACAACTAGGATTTATTCATAATAATGGATAGAATTCGGTAGTCAATTTAATAATAGCTGCTTGATTTTCCTAAAATAAGTGCTTCCTCATATTTTTATTCAAAAAAATCTGGACTCTGAGTAATTTGAAAAAATGATAGCTTTAAAAGATGACAATTGTTCACACCATTTGATATGTTTTTTGAATTTTATTTTAATGAAGGTAGCGGTTACAATGTCATTGTTGTCATATGGATGAACTATATAGTGAGACGCCCGGGCTTTTAGCGGACCAGTCACCTGAATAATGTACATCGTATCCAACAGGTAATTTGTTAGTTTTAAAGCAGGGGTCCTCAAACTTTTTAAATAGGGGGCCAGTTCACTGTCCCTCAGACCGTTGGAGGGCCAGATTACAGGCCTCGGGATGAGTTGGCTGCTAAGCAGGACAGATAGCGGCAGCAAAAACACCTGGCTGGCCGGATAAATGTCCGAGGCCAGCTCATGTGGCCCGCGGGCCGTAGTTTGAGGACGCCTGTTTTAAAGGAAAACTGTTGGGTGCTAAAATAGGAAAATAAGCTTATTATTGAAATAAGAGTTAAATGATCAGAATGAAAAAACAAAATCCAATCAATTACACATTATCCTTTTTTCCCTTTTTGCTCTTTTTAAGGGGGGGGTGCGAAATATGAAACACCAAATTATATCACGTAGCATTTCAATTTCCCTTTTGCCCAGGGCTCAGGGTTTTTATTGCTGCAACAAAGGAACGCAAACCACATCAAACCAAACAGAAAGATTAAAGAACCTGCCAGGCTGTCCCTCCTCCTGAGCTGTGCTTAAAAGAGCAATCATCACTTTGGGGATTTGGTTTCTTCTTTCTCACTCAATAAATCCCTGGTTTTCTTTGCACACTGCTCTTCTCACTTATCATTTCCTCCAGGAAACTCTCTAGTACTATAGAGAAGTCCTCATATTTCCAATTAAGATTTTAGTAACTTACACAAACTTCCTGACCTTCCTGTCATACCGTATTATAGTATTTTTACCTGTTTCTTTTGCTAACAAGTATGCGAACCCTGAGAGACATCTCTATGTCTTATTTGCTTACTTGTTGCTCTTCATCTATAGTTTCCTAAATGTTTGATAAATTGAGTTAAAAATCACTACAGAGAAATAACTTACGTAAAATGTTGTTTGGGACCTTCTGGCCACTGCACATAGCAGAGAGTACGGCCTGGCATGACCTTGGTTTTGGAGTAAAGACACTGAGGGAAGGCCAGTAGAAAAGCCAGGATCCAAATGCCTCCAATGACAATCTTGGTAGCTGTGGCAGACAGTCTGGGTTTCAAAGGATCAATAATGGCCATATACCTATGTAGAAACAAACAAAATGATTTTGTTGGTTCTCTTGTTAACAGACTTTAACACGGAACTTCAAAGGCTACCATTATCCCTCTTTTGTAAACACGGTGATACGGACTTTGCTTGTGTACAGCCAGCATAGAAGGGTAAACAGCATAGTCTTAGGAATCGGGCAGATCTAGGTTCAAACCTATTCTGACATTGCTTAATAACCTTTAGAACCTCAGCTCCACTATCTTTAATATTAGAAAGAGAACACTCACCTTTTGAGGTAAAGCAAGGATCAGTAGAAATAATGTGTGAATAAAAAGTATTCGTGTTACTTGGGGCTGTGCCAAACACACCAGAATTCATAAATGTTTGTGGAATTGAATTGGAAAGGCACTTAATAAGTGGTTAAACTATACTGGTTGCACCACTCAAAACCTTCATTTCTCTTCTGTATGTTTAACTTTTTCAAAGAAAGTTATGGAGAAATAATATGGAAAATGCCTACATAATAGACAAGGATGGGAAACTGCCTATGAAAGTGATGGTCAACATACCCATTTCTAAGCAGCAAGAGACAGGTTTGAGACTTAGAGAAGCACAAATAAATTAAGTTTGATTGAGGCCATTGAGTTCATATATATTGAATTCATACCATATCATGAAAATCTTCATGGTGTTATCCATGTAACTATGCATAATAAGACAGTTGTAATGGGAAAATATATTTGAATCTCTAAAACACATATTAATATACAACTTTTGGGGCCCCAACTATTGGGGCAGCAACCTGCCGACCCGACCCCATATACTGAGGGTGGCAGGTTCAACCCTGTCCCCAGCGAAACTGCAACCAAAAAATAGCTGGGCATTGTGGTGGGTGCCTATAGTTTCAGCTACTTGGGAGACTGAGGCAAGAGAATCTCCTAAGCCCAGGAGTTGGAGGTTGCTGTGAGCTATGATGCCACTGCACTCTACCAAGGGCAATAAAGTAAGACTCTGTCTCTAAAAAAAAAACAAAAACAAACAAACAAAAAAACCCATATAACTTTTGGAGTAAAACTTTTCAGGATGTTGAGAACTCTGTAAACATAGTAAGAAAGATCAAGCTTGATTCACTTGGTAAATAAAGGTAGTAACACTATATCTTGAAGAAGTGATTTTCAATTTTAATTAGATATAATAGGTTAATTATCAGAATTTAACCAATGTTCAGAGCTAAAAATAATGCACATCAAAAATACTTATATTTTTGTACTTATATGTGTAAAACAAAATACTTAAATGGTTTGAAGTTTACTTTTAGATATTCAGTGTTTATAGGATATATTTTGATTTATCCAAAATTTTCAAAGGCAATAATTTCATTAAGAATAGATATTGCCTAAGCCAAAACCCCTTTTAGTCTTAAGGATAAATATTTCAAAATAAGGATTTTTATTATATCAATTTATCGCTCTTTGCGTCTGTAACTATTAGGCAGAATTAACTCTTCAGTGAATGTTTTGGAAATTATCCATATACTATTTTTAGTAATAAACTTAGTCATAATGAACCTAAACGAAATATTCTAAATCACTGTGTAAAAGAGCGAACAGGTAAACATGATACTTACATATAAAAAAGAACCATCTTTGTCCTTCTGTGACTGGCTTATTTCACATAACAGCATGATTTCACATAAATGAGGTATCTAAAATAGTCAAACTCATAGAAGTAGAGAATAAAATGGTGGTTTCCAGGGGCCCACGGGATATAAAGGGTAAATTATGCAAGATGAATAAATTCTAGAAATCTGGTATATATGACATGATACCTGTAGTTAACGACATGGTATCCTGGAATTTAAAATATGTCAAAAGGATAGATCTCATGTTAAATGTCCTTACTAAACACACACACACACACAAACATTTTGGAAGTGATGGGCACATTGAGAACCTTGACTGTGGTCAGGGCATGATAATGTACACATATGTACAAACTCATCAAGATGCGTACGTTAAATATGTGTAATTTCGGTGTATAAAGCATACTTCAATAAAACTCACAAAAAGAGAAAAGAAAAAATAATTATGAAAACAGTATCTAGGTTCAGGTAAACAGAGAGAATCACACAAAGAAAATAAAACTCCCATCCAAGTACTAACCAGGTCTGACCCTGCTTAGCTTCAGAGATCAGATGAGATCGGGCATGTTCAGGGATTTAATAAAAATAAAAGAAAAGAAAAGACAAAGAAAAAAAACTCAGATGTTTGAAGTGGAAGACTTTAAAATTTATCTCTTTTGCTTGTTGGTGAAGACAACAATAGATGCATTTATTGACTGTTAACCAGAGCCGGCCACTTCATTACATACATTATGTGTATTTAATATCTACAATAATCTGACCAATCAACTTAGACTATTATTTTGATTTTATGGAAAATAAAACAGAGGTTTAAAAAGATAAAGTAAATTGTTCATAATAACCCAGATAGTAAGGGAAAGAAGTGGGATTCTAAACTAGTTCTGGCAGGCCCAAAGATAATATTGATGATGGCTTTTAAATATAACCATTCATGCCAGAAATTGTGAAAGAGAAAGAAAAGAAGGTAAAGATAGCTTCCAAAGAATCAGAAGTAGCATTAGACTTTTGAATCCATAAGAATTTATGTGTAAACAAAAATGAAAGTCAAACATATGAAGGCAGGAATAGTAGGTGGGTATTTCTGTTCCCAATTCTATAGATTATATAACTTCATACAGCATTTTTCACAAGATAGGAATTATTTTTTTATCAGTGTTTCCAGAGTTGAACACAGCACTTGCCGGTATGTTTTGTTGTACTGAGGCAAATATCCCTTGACTCATAATTTGCTTTTTCATTTGCTCTGTTATTTTATGAATGCAATTTGGATATCCAGACAGTTAATTTTTTTGAAGCTGAAAAGAGAAGGTGATGGACATGAGAAGGGTTAGATAGAGCCCTGCCCAGGCATTATAGCATAGATAATTCAAAATAAACTGCAAATTTCTTTTATTTATTTAGTTTTTGCAGTTTTTTTTTTTTGGCTGGAGCCTGATTTGAACCCACCACCTCCAGTATATGGGCCGGCACCCTACTCCTCTGAGCCACAGGTGCCACCCAACTGCGAATTTCTTATTGGTTGTTTTGGTCAGTTAGTCTAACATAGAGAAATTATTTCCTGACAGGTACTGTTTTATTTGAATTATATGAAAATAAATTCTTGTTCTCACTAACATTTTAGTGAAAGTAGAGATATCAAAACTTCTAGGTGTTATTTTTGTCATTTCTGGCCTGATCCAGTATTCATTTATTCAATAAAACATTTGGAATGCCTATTATGGTATTCAAAACACTAATTATACAATAGTCAGCAAAAAAGCCTTCCTAGAATTTGCAGTAAAGTGGATAGATGCTCGTCAATAACCTCCTCAATATGTGTAAATTCCAAACGTGACAGGTGGTACAACGGCAAGGCCAAGTGGATGCAGTAAGTGGGAAAAATATATTTGGATTTTCCATCAATCTTCCCTAAGGAAAGGCATTCTGGGTTGAAACTCGGAACAGCCACAAGACAAGGTTGCAGAAGGGAAAGGGTTACAAAGATTTCTGAGAGAACAAATAGTAAGTGAAAAACTTCTGTGTTCACAGGGCATTTTTATGGGACGAATTGCATCTTTACAAAAAAAAAAAAAAAGAAACATTGAGCTCCCAATCCCAGTACCATAGAATGTGAGCTTGTTAGGAAAGTGTGTGTGTGTGAGGGGTCCTGCTAAGGAAGCTAAAAAGAAGTCACGAGGGTCTTCAGACACATGACTGATGTCCTTGTATAAAGGGAAAATTGGAAACAGAAAGAAACACCTGGACAAAAGGCCACATGAAGATGGAGGACGAGAGTGATACAGCAGCAAACAAAGGAAAGCCACAGATTCCCAGAAAAAACAGCAGCAGGAGGAACGTGGAGGATTTCCCTATAGGTTTTTGATGGAGCATGGCCCGGCCAATACCGTGATTTCAAACTTCCGGCTTCCAAAACTATGACACACTTGGTTTCTATTGTTTTAGGTCACCTCGTTTGCGATACTTGTTTTCTGGCAGCCCAAGAACTAGCGCAGTCAACAGGGGTGGGAGAAGCATTAGGGTCTTGATGCTGAAAGGCTTCTGCACCTGAGACATAGAACGTAAGGAAGGAAAGTGGTTTGAGATAGTGAGAAGTTTAGCTGATGGGTGTTTTTTCCCCATGGAAAGTAATTGAAGGGGGGATTTAACCAGCTGAGTAGAATAGCCATGTTTTCGTCAGAAAAGAGCACCCGGCTTCAGTCTGGAAAATGGACCAGAGGAGGAAAAGAGTGCACGCAGGGAAGTAAGTAACCCAGCTAACATTTTAATTTGAGTAAGAGATGATTGTAGCTTGAAAAAGGGTGTTATCCCTGAAGGCTGAGTTGAGTAGACGTTTTGGGGAAAGTAAAAAGATGCCGGCATATTGTTCTAACAAGGGAGACACAGTTGGTGAAAAAAGTAGGTAGAATTACCAGGCTCTGCAAGATGGATTTAAAATTGGTGATTAGGAATTCATTCTGGTATTAATATTTTCTGTTAGGCAATTTTCTCTAGCAACCATAATTTGCTCATGGATTCTTAGAATCATCTGGACAAATATTCTCTGGACCTTGAGAAGAAATGGTCAAATCTGGGATATAATTTCACTCAAATAATTGTCAATACTTTATTCCTTAGACACATGTCTTTAATGGGATTCCTTCAGTTTTTCCTAGGTTTGGGGGGGTGAACTTCTCACTACCATTCCTCCCTCATCAGATTCTTTCTCCTTAGAGTGATTATTTCCTAAGTAGTAGGTAAGATTGGAGTCTTTACTCTTCAGATTAGCAGGTCACCCAAACAAGTTTTGAAGTCACCCAAATTATCACTTAATAGAGGCTAAAATTCTCAGAAGCATCCGTTAAAAGCTCACATTTTCTGTGCCATCTCCATCAGTTTTCCTTTCACTCCAGTA